TTTGGAAAACCGAGGCAGGAGGATCACTTGAGCCCAGCAGGTCAAGCCTGCAGTGAGCCATAATTGCATTACTGCACTCCAGCCTGGAAGGCAGCAAGAGACCCTGTCTCAAAACAAACAAACAAACAAACAAAACAATGGAGAGAGTAAACTGAGACCAGGGCTATAGCTAGAAAAGACACCTGAAGGATTTAATCCTGCACTCTCCACACAATGACAGACAAGAAGTGACTCACGCATTCAATAAACTTTTACTAACCATCTGTTACAAACACAGCTCTGCTAAGCATTGGGGTTACCCAGATGAGCAAGACAAGATACTTTCCCTCGAAGGGCCCCAGTCCAGTGGAGAATTCAGGCCAAAATTAATGACAATCAGAGGCAGGGAGGGGGACGGGGTCAGGGATGCCTTCAGGAAGAATTGTCCCGGCTGCATCTGAGGTGATGGGGGATGCAAAGGCACCCTGAAAAGTCTGCCCACTGTTTCCACTCTTTGGGTGCCCAGAGCTACTCTGGTTCTTAGCCTTTCCAAAGTCTGACTTATCAATGTTTCCTTTCCTCCATGAGCTGCTCTACAGCGTTTCAATTAATTCCCCTTTTGCTCCAACAAAAGAGTGGGTCTTCTGTTGCTTGCACGCAAGGAAACCTGAGTGACACATTGCTGGTGGGGGCATCCTTTCTTCTAAGCAGTCAGAAAGGGAAAGGGGAGGCCATGAGCCAGCTTGTCTCTGCAAAGACTAGGGCACCTTGAGTGAAAAATAAATAGTCAAGTCAGGGGTGGCATAGAGGGAGGCCTCACGTTGAGCACAGCAGTGGTGAGGCCCTGGCTTGGGCTATGAGAAGCTGTCTGCTTCTGCAGGCAATACACCTGAGTATGAAACATTGTCTTTACTGCAAAATCAAGATCAGAAAACAGGTAACACATTAACCAAAATGCTCTCCTAGTTTGGTGTCCAGCCCCTCTTGCCAATATCCCCAAATGATGCTCTGCAGGCATGTCACCCCCACACACACACACAGAGAGAGAGGAGACAGTGGCATCACCCCGAAAGGGCAGTTGAGAAGGGCCTGAAATGAATTAGAAGGTAGAAAGTGGAGCAAAACAAAGGCCAACTTTTTTCTGCTAAATAGTATTTTTTTTTTCTGCTGCTTGGTTTCATTAAAACAAAGCAAACAAAACAACAAACAAAAAATGACAGTGAAGCTTTCTAAAATGAACTTCTGGGAGGAATGGCTTCAGGAAATGACCTGTTGAGTCCTTTTCTCCCTCCTGACCCCTTCCTCAGAGGAAGACTTTAGTCCGGGGGTCAGCAAATGTACTCTGCAGAGCGCTAGATAGTAAATAAACATTTCAGCTTTGTGGGAGTCTTGTTCTGTCATCCAGGCTGGAGTGCAGTGGTGTGATCTTGGCTCACTGCAACCTCCGCCTCCCAGGTTCAAGCGATTCTCATGCCTCAGCCTCCCAAGTAGCTGGGATTACAGGCATGCACCACCACACCTGGCTAATTTTTGTATTTTTAGTAGAGATGGGGTTTCCCCATGTTGGTCAGGCTGGTCTTGAACTCCTGACCTCAGGTGATCCACCTGCCTTGGCCTCCCAAAGTGCTGGGATTATAGGTGTGAGCCACTGTGCCTGTCCACAACTATATATTTTAACTCTGCCATTGTAGTGTAAGAGCAGCCATAGACAATACGTAAATGAGTGAACATGGATATGTTCCAATAAAACTTTATTTAGAAATAAAGTGTTTTACAAATACAGGAGGTGGGCCGTATTGGGCCTCTGGGGTCTATTCCAGGCCAAGACTAAAGTGCAAGCTACATCACCTGTCATGGCATGAGGAACGCTAGTGACCAGGACCCTCTGGTTCTGCATTCGGACCCCTGTCTCTGGGTTCTGCATGTCCTTCACGAGTGCTTCAATCTGCAAGACAGAACAGGAAAAAGCCGACTGAGGAGAACAATTTTGAAAGTTGTGCAGGGCCATTTCCACTGCACTGAGAGGGATCTCAAAACGCAAAGGCAGACACCGGGATTCCCCATCTGGTACAGGAGCCAGGTGGGCACTGAGTGACTCTAATGCAGCCAGGACTAAGGTGTGCTCCACAGCCACAGATCCCATCCCTGCGTGTGAAGACTCGCACATTCATCCTGACTGGGAGATTCTGAGGTGGCTTTTAAGGAAAGATGGAGCTTAACAAGAAAGGATTTTGCTGGGCCGGGCGCGGTGGCTCACGCCTGTAATCCCAGCACTTTGGGAGGCCGAGGCGTGCGGATCATGAGGTCAGAAGATCGAGACCATCCTGGCTAACACGGTGAAACCCTGTCTCTACCAAAAAAGACAAAAAAATTAGCCGGACGTGGTGGTGGGCGCCGGTAGTCCCAGCTACTCCAGAGGCTGAGGCAGGAGAATGGCATGAACTCGGGAGGCAGAGCTTGCAGTGAGCCGAGATCATGCCACTGCACTCCAGCCTGGGCAACAAAGCAAGACTCTGTCTCAACAAAAAAAAGAAAGGATTTTGCTGGACAGAAAGTGAAGGAACACCATGGGCAAAGGCGTGAAAGGATGACAGCTCCCAGGGTTAGTGGAACAGAAAACAGCAGGAGTTGCGGCTGGAATAGCCAGTAGAGGCCAGATCACATGGACCTCAAAGCCACCCCTGCAGTGTGGATTTTGTTCCAGTGACTGTTCCTGGAGAGCATTTTGGAAACATGGCCTATGACAGAGAGAAGAACATGAAGTATGAAGAAGTTTGCAGAGGTAGAGAAAAGTGCAGTGACCTCTTCAAAGCTATTGCATACAGCCCAGGTGAGGAACAACAGTGACCAGGCACAGGGGCTCACACCTGTAATCCCAAATTCTGGGAGGCAGAGGCGGGAGGATCGCTTGAGTCCAGGAGTTTCTGACCTGCCCGGGCAACATAGTGAGGTCTTGCCTCTACGAAAAACTTAAAAATTATCTGGGCATGGTGGCACATGCCTGTAGTTCCCAGCTACTTGGGAGACTGAGGCGGGAGGATCACTTGAGCCCAGGAGTTCCAGGCTACAGTGAGCTATGATCGCACCACTGCACTCAGCCTGGGTGACAGAGCGAGACCCTGTCTCTTTTTACAAAAAGAAAAGAAATGACAGCACTTCAACCCTTAGCACTCCCACTCTTCGTACTCTCAGCAGAGCAGGCAGATGGGCTTTCCATTATTTTAGAATATGTCACTCTTCTGCGTGGCTGTTCCACTGCAAGGGCCACTTGACACCGAGTAAATGATAAAGTTTCCCTACTGGTCTACATGTTCAGGACCTCCTTCCTCTCTGACTTCTTTCCTACCACTCCCCACCAGCTCCCTCTGATCCAGCCACACTGGCCACCTTCCTTCCCCCAGCCATACCAAGGACACTCCCAGCCAGCCTTGGGTGGGTCCCATGCGCTGGCTGTTCCCTCTACCTGGGCCAGTCTTCCCAAGAGACCAATTTGGCTCCCTCCTCACCTCCTTCCCCTTCTGACGGTCTCAGGAGGCCCACCCTGACCATTCCTAAAGCTGCAACCCTAAACTCCACCCTTGGCATTCCTGACCCCCTGCTCCGTTTCTCAAGAGCATGCGTGTTCTTCAAACATACAAAATAATTGACCTAGTTATTACATTGTTGATGGTGCATCTCCCTTTGCTCCTGGAAAGTAAGCTCTTCCTAGGGGTCTTTGTCTGTTGTTGTTTGCGGCCGGATGTCAAGTGTCAGGAAGCGTGCCTGGCACATAGGTAGTACCCAGTAAGCAGGTGATGTGAATTAATAAATAAATGAGACAGTGGCCAGGAAGATGGTAAGGAGGCATGACTTTCAGAGCCCTAAAAGAGCAAAAATAAACTGTATTTGCAAGTGACTGAGTGGTTCACTGAGGGTGACACAGAATAATGCCAAGGTTTGTAACTTATGCGACCAGAGTTACCAGTTACCAAACTAGAAAATGCAAAAGAAGAGCCACTTCTGGAAGCAAAGGCATCTGCCTTGGCAGGTCGACTGCAAGGGGCTGCTGAGATTCCCACAACGTCTGGGAGGTGATTGGAAATGACTGCCCCAGGTTCAGAAGAGACAGGGTCAGAGACATGAATTAGAGCCATGAATGTCAGGGAGAGTTGAAGCTAAAGAGAATCAAGAAACTGTCCGAGGAAGCCTGAACTGCAGGAAGGCAGCCACAATGACAGCCCTGACTATCTTTAGAGTTGTTTTTTTTCATTTTTATTACTAAAAATTATTTCCCGCTTGAAAAAATCAAATGGAAATAATATCAACTGAAGGATTTATTTTTATTTTATTTTTTGAGGCAGGTCTCCCTCTGTCGCCCAGGCTGGAGCACAGTGGCATGAACTTGGCTCACTGCAACTGTCACTTTCTGGGCTCAAGCAACTGTCTTGCCTCAGTCTCCCGAGTGGCTGGGATTACAGACACATGGCACCACGCCCGGCCAATTTTTGTATTTTTAGTAGAGACGGGGCTTCGCCATGTTGGCCAGGCTGGTCTTGAACTCCTGACCTCAAGTGATCCACCCGCCTCAGCCTCCCAAAGCGCTGAGATTATAGTCGTGAGCCACCTCATCCAGCCTGAAGGATTTTTTTTTAAAACAAACTGGATGTTTGACACTAGTCAACAAAGATGACTAGAGAAAACCCAGGTGTTTCTCTTATTATTCGGTGTTTGCTACTGACCCTGACAAAGCTTCATGTGCAGAGGTTTCAAACTTCATGTTCCCCTAGAAAAGCCCTCACTAACGGGAAAGCTGTCTACTCCCCATGTCCCAGATGTACTTGCCAATGGTCAGTTGGTCATTCGACATCCAGGCACAGTCATGATGGACTCTGGGAAACCAGAGAGAAGCAGCTGTGGTCCCTGAGCCCAAAGATCTCACTGACCAGTGCAAGCATATTCCAGGATAATGCACAGTGTGCAATGACAAGGGTGAGTCTATGGTGTCATGTGAACACAGCAGTGCCTAGGGCTGGGCAGGAGGGAAGGACTCCTCCTAGATTGATTTTTCTTTCTTTTTTTTTAGACTGAGTCTTGCTCTGTTGCTCAGGCTGGAGTACAGTGGCGCGATCTCAGCTCACTGCAATCTCCACCTCCTGAGTTCAAGCGATTCTCTTGCCTCAGCCTCTCGAGTAGCTGGGATTGCCCACCATCACGCCCAGCTAATTTTTGTATTTTTAGTAGAAACAGGGTTTTACCATGTTGGCCAGGCTGGTCTCAAACTCCTGATCTCAAATGATCCACCCACTTCGGCCTCCCAAAGTACCGGGAGTACAGGCATGAACCACTGCGCCCAGCTTCCTAGGTTGAATTTTACAAAGTTTAGCAAGTATTAGGAAGCAGAAAGAGAAAAGGAGCATGGGTGAGGGTGTTCCAGGCGGAAGGGCCACAGGAGCAGAAGCACAGAACGTGAACCAGCAGCGGGGAACAAAGCCCTTTCCTGCCTTCACGCCCAGGGCTCTCTCCTGAGGTCTGGGCTGCTGCGTGCAGCTGGACATCCACGTGGAAGGCTGCTCTCACACCCAGTCTGTCCACATTCCCACCATTACCCGAAGTAAAACATTTCATCCATTTACCTGTTTCCCCTCTCCCCTCCATTTAGCCACCTTGCTTACACCATCATTAGTCTCTTGGCATTGAATTAAACAACATCTCCCAACACTGGCTCATTAAAATTTACAAAATCCTTTTGTGATCTGAAGGTACTTGCTTGCGGTCCAAAGAAAAAGCACTCAGGCTCCGTGGGATTTCCCTTCTCTCTTTACTGTAGGATCTTGGGCAACTCACTTAACCTCTCTGAATCTCCTTTCTCTGCCATAACATGGGCGCCATGATAGTATGTGGACTACTAAATGATTCTATAATACCTTAGAATTTAATTAATTTGTGGCTTTATAATCCCTTAGAATTTAATTATGTAAAATGCTCTATAAGGAGAGATATATGTTATGTATGCATAATGATATATGCTGTGTCAGGAGAGACATATGTTCATTGCTATGGTTAGAATTACTAATATTAGTAGCATTCATACTAATACATTTTGAAACTTTGCATGCAGGGTTGTGTTTAGGTGCCCAGGAATAGAAACCCAGGTCAACAAAGCAAATAAGTATAGGTATTTATGGAGCATGTATTAAGAACCCTGTACTGCAAGGATACAAGGTAAAAGACATATACCCAGTCTTCAGAGAGTTGAGCAGTTACATGAAAATAAAAAGTTAACTAATATGAAAGCTAGGAGTCTGAATGCAGAGAAAGCTCAGTTCACATCTCTGCTCCAATTTAGAAGCTAGAGGCTTTAGGTAAATTGCTAAATTTCACTGGGACTCATTTATCTGTAAAACAGAGCTTACAATAGTATCAGGCCCGGTGTGATGGCTCATGCCTGTAATCTCAGCATTTTGGGAGGCCAAGGTGGGTGGATCACTTGAGGTCAGGAGTCCAAGACCAGCCTGGTCAACATGGTGAAACACCATATCTGACAAAAATACAAAAATTACCCAGGTGTGGTGGCAGGTGCCTATAGTCCCAGCCACTTGGGAGGCTGAGGTGGGAGAATCCCTTGAACCCAGGAGGCAGAGGTTGCAGTGAGCCGAGATCACATCACTGCACTCCAGTCTGCACAACAGTGAGACCTTGTCTCAAAACAAAAACAAAAACAAAAACAAAAAAACACCAAAACCATTCATCATAGGGATATTGTGAAGACGAAATGAGATTAAGCATACAGAGTATTTCATATCATTCTGTGCACAAAGTGAAAGGACACAAAGATAGATGTGTACCTGCCCCCCACCTGCTACACCCTT